TGCAGCTATCCTTCTCCTTGACCCAAAAGACGGCCCACCAACGGCCAAGACATGCCGCTAGCCAAGACTGACAGTGGCCCGGCGTCGGCGTCCTATTCAGGTTGATTCGACCAGCAACCGCAACAAACTCTGCTTTTCACAGGAGGGTAATCAAATCAAGTATATATCTCAAGTACCTCGAAACGAGATAGATATACTTTACATCCTCGGAGCATGAGTGTCGATCGGGCATGAAGTTCAGGTGTAGGTATCGCTGCAGGACTTTTTTTCCGGCCACCAAAATATCATCGGGTTCAAGATATTATGATTTTCCAATTCAAGGACTAGCTTCTGCTGCTTAGAACTGGATACAACCTGGGTGCCTAGATGACTCATTTGCTTGACCTTGATAAATCGGTACTACCTCTACGCCGTATGAAAGAGCGCCTTCCAAAAGATATATATAATGAATATCTACTCTTGTAAAGTTAACTCTAGACTAAGGCCTTGGATGATGTTGTTGTTCAGGTTACTGCTGGCGATGATGAAGATCTTCCGGTGTGGGATTGAGTAAATAGCCTTAGTCTATGTATCATTCCTTCGAGCACGCACGCTCGTATGCTTAGGGAACGGGAGGTGCTATCGCGGAGGCAAAGCGATCGCAAGGACTTTGATGTGACGAGCCGAAATATGCGGCATGACAGATGAAACCTTTCCTTAGATATAAGCCCATGTCATTAGCACAAGATAAAGTAGTGTTGTAGATAATATAGAAACTGGATACGACGAGTGCAATTTTGGTAGCCCAGCTGTTCTACCAACAGGAACTCTCCAGCAGGAAGGAATGATTGTGCTTCGGTTAGTTAGGTCGTGGTCGGTCGCTGCCCACGTCATTGCTCGAGGTATAGACATCAATACAATTGTCAATGGCCACGATGCCCACGTTTCTTGATTACAAGCTATGCTGAATCGTGACACCAGCGACGTCCACTGAGTTGCAACGTAAGGTAGCATTATCTCGCTCGGATGGTCAAGTGCAAGCGTGTGAAAGAACTCGACGAATACTTCCTTCGCACGTCCATGCAGAGACGGACTGGGGAAGACGCTTCGATTCAGAGGCAGGCAGAGAGCTTGCATTCTCGAGGCTAGCACCATGACACGGACTGTCCAAGGTGGACGGTCTATCAAGGTGACAAAGACCTTCGGACGTCTGCATGCTTCGTGAAAAACTGCAAGGAATGTCAGTCTCAACGACCAGCCGAGCAGAAGACGGTGTATGGGATGGGATGTATGGAACCCGGTCGGCACAGACTGACGGTGCGCCGCGAAGAAGCGGAGCGACTGCGAGGTTGAGGTGGATGCGAAGGGGGGGTTTATACTCGCCGGGGGTCAGGCACCCAGGCACACTTTCTCCACCATGGCAAGCGCAATCACCGAACCTGCCCGTCTAGTGCCATCATACCCCGCACGGAGGGTCTAAGAATACGCTCTAGCCATTTCTCATCACTGCGGCTAGGACTACTACCACCTGCCGCCGGGGAGTCGCGGCGCTTGAGGACAAAAGAGAAGCTGCATGGGGCTTCCATGCGATACACGTGAAGAGAAATGACGTCCTCTTCATTCAAGATTCATGGCCAAGTGATAAAGATAGTAAAGACCTGGGCTTATTGATCGTAGGATCGGTATGGGTATTGAATGTGTGTAGCCAGTGCCCGCAGCCGAGTGGACTTCAGGGTCGTACTCACGTAGAGCCAAGCCGATCGATGAGAATACGTACGGCGGGCTGCACCTACGGGCTCCACCGAGCCGTTGCAGGGTATTTAGCACCCACATGGACAGAACAAGACTTCCGACCGAAGAGGCCGGCCGGTCATGTTAGGAGACTGTTATCATTCGGCCTACGAATTAGCTAAAACTCCGTCGCAGACTGATGCGCACCTCCAAAAATACCACTGCGTTCAACAATAGACAGTAATTTCTTAGTCGAGGCGATGAGCCTGTTCCTCTAGCACTGCTGCTGAAACGCAGGGCCTTTGGGGAGTGGGCCTCGATGCGGGCGAAATGTACGAAGAACGGGCAAAGCTTGGCGCAAGTGAGCCGAAGCGTTACCCATTGGAGGTTTCAATAGCCCGAGATTAAGCTTCGGGGTTAGTACCCGCCCGCGAGATTTCATTGTTGGACACCGCGGTACCCCTCTTTACACGTCTCGTATTGAGAGCATGGATTTCGAATGATGCCAGGTGAATAGTAAAGCTAGTGCTGAAGTGGGAATGATCCTGAAAGCAGTAAATCAGAGGAGATGTAGACATTTCAATCAGACAGTAGCCAAGACGTATATATTGAAACAGTCCCTATCGCGTGGGTAGGTGTCCCGTGTCCCGTGCCCCATACAGTTCCTGCATTGCTATCTTCTCCACTCTGAATCATGTCGTCCAAGCCAGAGTTTGACCACCGGGGTTCCGATGAGCTTCTGCTCAAGCGGGACCATTACATCGACCAGATGAACCGATCACGGCGCTGGGCTTGTCTGCGCCCGCTCATCTACATCGGGGTGGTGGTGGTTGGCTTCGTCGAGATCATCGTGCTCCTGGTATACTTGGTCGAGACGAGCAGGCAGCCGCCCCTGCGCGATTTAAATGGGTTGGTTCCGGATTGTAAGAGCTCCACTTTGTTTTCCGTTGGCGAGATGTTCCCGCAACAACGGCTGACAGACGATTCCTTGCCCGACTCCAGTCCCCACGCATCAAGTCCTCTTCCGACTCGACCCCATGGCCGTCTCGGACCATCGAACAGAAAGCTCCAAAGCCGCCACAAAAGAGAACTGGCTGTCGTACATGCCGCGTGAGTTGGGTCGGATCGACACGATCTTGCTATCAATGATTAATAAGTGTGGGATTGGTAGGGGGCAATGGCTTCATCGCGGTAAATCACACGGAACAACTGGAATACGTCCTGTCCCCGCCGATCGAGAAGTTCGGCAAGAACCTGTACGCGGTGGCGGTCTTCCACCAAATGCATTGCCTGGTATGTGAGAGCAGTTTAGCACCCTCATTCACCATCACTCGTACCAAAATAATTCTTGCAATTTGATGGAATAAAACTGAAGAAATGCGATGTTTGAAACAAAAGTACGCAATCATGTCCGCATACGACGATCTCGTCGCTGGCACACCCTCGATGCACAAGGCCCGCGACGCGCATGAACACGACCATTACTATCATCACGGGCATAGCGATGACCCGGCTGGGGGGCCCCACGGCCATGTGAACCATTGCTTCCAGTACCTGCGGGAGTCGCTGCTGTGCTGCGGTGACACCGCCCTGGAGGGCCAGGGCCAGGGGGCGCAGCCCGGGACCGATGGGACCGGGGCGGTGCATGAGTGTAAGGACTTCGATGCGATCATGGCGTGGGCGGACGAGAGACGGATTATGGATGGTAAGCATCCGTGAGGGCACGTTGAGCGCAACCAGGCAGACAGATGTAGATGGGAGTATACTCCAGCCTTTCATTGTACTTTCTGTGATTGTTGAATCCCTTGAACTGTTGGATTAAACTTGGTTTCAGCGAGGGAGAATGAGATGGCACGTGTACTCGTCCTCTATACCAGTGGATGAGAGGGGATCTCTTTGTCTACGTATAGTCAATATGAAAGACATTTCGAAGATATTATCTATGACTGTCATTTCTGACGCGTGTAATCGCAGATTGTCTGCGCCAGCTTTGACCGGGATGGAATATTCCGCGCTGTTATATGAGGGCTTTGTCTGTTCCTTGTCTGGGGGTAATGCAATCTCAATTGCACATGTGGACGGAATCTGGGAACGAGTGCATTATAAATAGCATTTTGATACTAAACAAGCAAGACAACAAGTCAAGTCTCCGTCCCACAAGCGTATCTGAACAGACAGCAACATGGAGAATCCCAACCCCAACACTCTCCGCCTCCTCAGCGCCACCGGTGACCGCGGGGTGTGGCAAGTCGGAACCGACAAGATCCTCAAAGAATACCCCAGCGACGACGCCCTCTGCACCGAGGGGGCAGTGATGCGAGTCCTGGCGCAGGACCCCAAGATCCCCGCCCCGCGCGTCCTGCACGAGTGGATCGACAGCAACCGGCGGTACTTCATCCTCCAAGAACGCATGCGCGGCGAAACACTCCAAGACGCATGGCCCCGCCTGTTCCAGACCCAAAAGAAAGCGATCGCCGCGCAGGTGGGCCAGGTCCGCCAGCGCCTGCGACGGCTGACCTCGCCGTGCATCCAATCTGTCGGCGGAGGCGCGTGCTATCCGCCGTACGAATGGGGGTTCCGGACCCGGGCGCAGGGGCCCTTCGCCTCGGACGCAGACCTGCGGGCGGCGATCCGCTCTTATTTGACGGGCATCCTGGACCGGGAGCTCCCAGACCAGATCCTCGACAACCTGATGTCGTGCATGCCCGCGTCCGGATATTACGTCCTCACCCATGGCGACCTCCACATCAGCAATATCATGGTCAATGAGGCCGGGCGGCTGGTCGGCATCATCGATTGGGAGTACGCAGCGTACTATCCTATTTGGTTCGAGTATCTCCTGGTCGCGCGGGGCAATGTCGACCCCGGTGATGCGGAGTGGAAGGAGCTGCTGCTGCTGCAGTTTGAGGCCCAGGGGGATGGTCATCCGGACGCGGTGCAGTTTCGCGATAGTATCTTCCTCTTGAAAGGGTATCCGTACTTGGATGACGGAGAGCGAGAGATGCTGGCGAAGCTCTGTTCGGGGGATCATGAGATGAAAAGAAGAACCGAGATGGTCTTGGACAATAGCTAGGATTCACAGGTCCTGTTGTATCTACCCAGTCCCTTGGCGGGGTTCCTATCTCCAAAGGAAGATCCTGAATCCCTGGGATCCACACATGCAATGCAATACGATAATATCTATGAAAATAAATGTAGATACATAAAGACTGTATGAAAGAAAGCAAAGTTCTATGATCAGACCCAACACACCAAAACTCAAAGTAAACCACGACGAAGCCCGTCTAAGCCTCTGCCAACATCGCCAAGTTGCCAGGCCGGCTGAAGGTGACGTGGGAGAGGTGCAAAACCTTTGTATCGAATGCAGCCGCTGTATACGCAAAGTAGTACTAGTATTGTATCAAGTTAGAGCGGACCCCTTGTGGGGACAGAGACGTTTTTGACTCACAATATATTTCCGATAAAAGACCTCCACGTCGTGTTCCGACAAGTTGTACTTTTCTCGCATGAGGGGGGCAATGATGCCCCGGAAATTTTGCTGGAACTTCCTGCTCCATTCGTTGAGACATCTCACATAGTGGGCGCCATATTGCTGCACGGATTCCAGATCGAGTCGGGCGTTGGAACTTTGCACTGCTTCCAACAGTCTGGCGACGCTGGGACAGTGGCCTCCGGGGAAGATCTATTCGCTCATGATAATTAAGTCCATGTTTGCGAAATCCGAATTGTGGCGAAGAATAGACTTACATATCGACGAATGAATCTGAAATAGAACTATGTGTTAGAAGATCAGAAAAGGTTTCAGTTTGCAAGACACTCACCCCTCGCCCTTTGGGAACATATTCCTATATCTCTGCGGGACGGATTAGCTCTGAGTTCATATCTGATGGGAAATTGCTCACCGACTCCGGCATAATACTCGACTGAATCGAGACAATCCCTCCCTCCGGCTTGAGGAACCTATCGACGGTCTCCCAGAACGTCTGCAACTCATGGTCGCCCATCGCCTCCATCATCTCCACGGCGACGATCTTGTCGTAGAGCACCTCCGGCACCGGGAGCAGGCGATAGTCACACAGCAGCACCGTGATCTTATCCTCAAGCCCCAGGGCGCGCACGCGCTTCTGCGCCCTCTGGTACTGCATTTCGGAGAGTGTGCAGGTCGTCACGCGGCAGCCGATCGTCGTCGCCGCGCGGATCGCCATGCTGCCCCACCCCGTCCCGAACTCCAGGATGTAGTCCGTGGGCTGCGCGTGCACGTTCGCCAGCAGTTGATCCAGCTTGCGCATCTGCGCGGCCTCCAGGGTGTCGCTCGCGTACTGCGGATGCGACCGGGCCCGCCAGATCGGACAGGAGTAGCTCATGTCCGGAGAGAGGAACGCTTCGAACATCCCGTTGGAGAGGTCGTACGCGGCGGCCATGTTCAGACTGGCGTTCTTGAGGGTACCCGTGTCGACGGTGCGGAAGAGCACATCCGAGATGGCAGCCACAAATCGATATGGGGTGGTGCTGAGGTTGGACAGATGCTGTTCGTTTTCGATAAAGAGCTGGAGCGGGAAGGGGTCAGCGCTGCGATTCGAGTTTTGGTGAAATTAGCGCATGTACTGTACCTCCATCAGTGCCATCAGGTCTGGGGTCGAGAACTCTTCCAACAGAAAGGAGTCGGCGAAGCCCTGGGGAATTGAGCCGTGAGCAGGGGGTTTTGTCGACAGAGGGTCATCAAGCCGGCGCGGTAGAACGACTCACAAGGTCTGCCGATACAAGTACTCGGAACCAGAACGTATCCTTCTGGACATGTATGACACCTTTGTGTCCTTCGTTCCCATGACCAAATCTCCATTTTTCGCCGTCGTGAGAGTAAATCTCCAGGGTCCCAATTTTGATATTAGACAGAATTGATAGGACCAGGTTCCTGACTAGGCCAACAGGAACCGCAGCCGTGCCCAAGGATATGATGGTAGTTTGTGCTTTATCTAGCAGCTGTTTGCCCGTCGAGCCGAGCACACGTCCCAGATCCATTGTGATGTCTCGTGGATGATACTGCCGGACCAGTCTGCGTTGACCCGAAAGTCTGGATAATACCAGCCTGCCGAAAGGTTAAGCGGCAAAAGATGAATCGATCATGCGTGACAGTGTGCCCGAGTGAGAGGATGAAACTTAGGATTATATAGGCTCAACACAGGCAGCGCTAGACTAGAACTAGTCAGTTTCACAGGGTGAGGGACAAGCCTTGATGGTAAAGGCATGAGGCGTTGACCTGCTCTCGATTGCCTCATGGCGGCCATCCAACAAGCGTCGGGGCGTTCTGCTTGCCACCGAATTACCGCAGGATATAATAAGCATCCACGCAGAGATTGGTCAGCGCCAGCCAGAGGCGTGTAACTTTGAGAATCAGAACTTCGAATGACACTGTGATTACGTCGATTACTAGTCCTTGTAGCGGTCAGTGGCTGACAGATAGGGCAAAGGCTCCACCACGCCGGGGTGGTCACGAGCACATTTATGCCTTGTTCCTGAGCGCTACATCCCAGATCCTGGGAACCACTCCGATGGGTATGACTAGTCCATAGGACGTGAGAGAGGATAGAAGCAGCCACCACTTTCAGCTGCGTACACTGCCAAGGAACAAAGAAGAACGTCTTCGTTCTTGAGTCGGTATTGCGTTGATGAGCAAGGTTTCACAGCAAATCGCACGGCGACAAAACACAGGGTACAGTGTTCTGTCAAATGCTCATTCACAAGCGTGAGAATTTAGCGTGATAGTCCCGACTAATAATATCGACATTCTTCCAACAATTAGAGTACCAAAGGCTTCGGTGGCCAGAGCCTGTCCCGGTCGCTCGAGGCTATAGATGGCTTTGGTAAATCGGCAGACGTAACTAACTTTGAGCTAGGTAAGTGCACTACTAGCGTCCCAAAGGAAGGAGAGTTCTTATCATGAAAGAAAGAAAGAAAGTTAAGGGTTCACTCTAGGCTCGAACTATAAATGAATATACTATGGCATAAACGCAAACCCCGGAAGACTATTCAGCAGGGAATTGTTTTCCAGAGGATCAGTGCCTTATATCCGTGACCATATGTCTCCTGAGGCCGTTGGATGGTTGGAAAGCATTGTCACATCACTCTAATTAATTATAGGGAATATGTGAGATTACGGGACTGTTGAGAAAATCTACTGTCACACCCCTGAGATACACAGTCAGCCGCGTGGCTAAGGCCAGGTACCCCGCCCGGCTTCCCAAAAGCGGCTCAGCCCGCAGGATTCGGGCGGGTTACCCCGCTGCGGGCTCGAATCCGGACGGGTCGGGCAGGGCCCAGAAGATCTCGTATACAAAATAAACCCTAAGGCATTCCTGCATCAGATCTGTTGACCGAAGTCTCGTGTGAGATTTTAGTATGTAAGCTTCACGACGAACACGAACCTGGCATCCGGCCGCGGTGTAATCGCACTGCCTACAGCCCTTGAACTTGAGGTGATACGAAGGAGGATACCGATCCACCGCGCTAAGATAGACAAAGAACATAAGCCGGAGTCAGCAACAGCACACCATGACTATTTGCTGGAATATCGGCCTGGTCACGTAGAAGCCTCGGGATATTTCCGCTTCGAGCATCACGGAACCGAGCCCATCTTAGCTCCAAGATGACGGATCTGCATCTGTTCCGGTGTTTAATGGTAATCAACCCAGTCGCTTGTATCTGCTCATTCGAGAGTGAGACGAGTAGGTAGGAACCAAGGTTTACCACCCATCCAATTGCAAGGTCTAGCCCGGAGAACGTTGAGACCCGACTTTCAGGGTCAGACAAGCCGCTTGGGTGGTACTGATTCAAGCAATCTGCGACTGGGGGCAGTTAATTTATACTGAACCAATGAATTCACTTCTGGAAGGCATAGCCCAAACCCATCTCATGCTAGCCAGCGAGGCTAAGGTATGCCCCCATCATTACTTTAGTTAGTGACAACTATCCAACAACCAAGAGACAAAGCACGAGCCCCCGCCCTTCCTTCCAACTTTCCCTTTCCCCTCCCCGCTTCCACCACCAAAAGCCTCACCACCAAACATCAAAAAAATGCCTTCCGAAAGTAAAACCTACGTTTTGACCGGCGGCTTCTCGGGCATCGGCCTCGCGATCCTCACTCACCTCCTCACCCCGAAACACCCAGACACCCCACCACCCACAATCCACGTCCTCGACCTCGCCTCCACACCCCCAACCCTCCCCGCCACCCTCTCAACCTCGACCATCCACTTCTACCCGAGCACCAACGTCACCTCCCGAGCAGGAATAAGCGCCATCTTCGACCGCATCTTCTCCCAGTCCCCTCAGATCGACGGACTGATCAACAGCGCAGGGATCTGCCCCCCGCCTACGATCGGCGGAATTGAGAGCGATGAGCTCTTTGATCGGGTGCTGGATGTGAATTTGAGGGGTACGTGGATTGTGGGGACGGAGTTTCTGAAGCACGTCTTAAACAAAGACGCGGCGGCAGCAGGTGGGAAGACCGAGGCCGCAGGCAGAGGGGGTGTTCATGCCCGCGCCGCGATTGTGAATATCGCGTCCACGGCGGCGATCTCGCCCCCGCCAGGGATGGTCGCGTACGCGACGAGTAAATATGCGGTGCTAGGGTTGACCAAGGCGTGGGCGAAGGAGTATACGCCGCGTGGGGTGCGGGTGAATTGTGTGGCGCCGGGGGGGCACACGGACGCCGTTGGTGGACTCGGCGTTGACGGAGGGGATGATCGATGCGTATGCGGAGAGCGCGCCGATGGGCCGGTTGGCGGCGCCGGAGGAGATTGCCAGTGTGGTGGGGTTTTTGTTGGAGGGCGGAGCGGGGTTTGTGAGTGGGCAGATGGTGGTGGTCGATGGGGGATATTATTTGTGAGGATGTTACTTGACGAGGAAAGGAGGTAATAGGTCATGAAAGGAAGTCGCTGATGGCTGTTATTGCTCTCTGAATGGTACTAGGCCTTTCTGAGAACGAGAAAAAACAATAAGTGAGATAAAAAGTACGAAGAAATGTCTCACGGCGCCGGTCCCTGGCGAACAGGTACACATACAAGAATTTGACAATTAAGCAGATCGGACAATCAACAGGAAAAATGTACCAGGTCAGTAACTGCAGACTGGAGGCATGTTGTGGTGGTCGAAAAGCCATCCTTGGTCTTTGGACACTGCCGATTGCTCCTCCATGAGTTCCACTCGTAGATCCTCAGCCTCCTTTTTACCGATCAGATTATCACCGCCCAGATATCCCTGGATCATATCCTGCAGCTCTGTAGGCAGCCATCTGGCAAGAACTTCATGACGCGCACCGCCAGTCTCCTCGAACCAGTCCACTTGCTGCGGAGGTACGTTGGCGGTTGAAATGATCTGAAGATTGGGATCCACCAGAAATAAGGGTAGAATCTTGCAATGGCCCGATCTTGTCGGATCGGCTAGTGCGAAAGGCATCCCTCGATGCTGGACAATATTTGGGAATGTGAGAATAAGACCCATAAGACCCTGTCGGCAGTCCATGCTACCGACGACTTAAGTGACCGAAAGCGCCTGGAACCCATTCACAGGGGCAACCTTCGTATTCCGAAAACTTCACAACATCGTCCAAGTTAAGCCGTTGGCAGAAGCAGATTCTGCCAGGAGTGATCTATGGTTCGAGTAGTAATAAACCGCGGTTGCACAGACATGTTCATTCTACCAAATCGGAGTGACGAATGATGCCGAATCAGTTTCATTCGATGAATGTGGGTGACGAGAGATATAATGTGGTGAGGAAAAGGTTGCATACCATTCTCCCTGCAATATGCCAAGACCCCCACCTGCGTATGATGGCTTTTCCGGGGTTAACTCAATATTGGCCAACTTGACGATAACATGCAACGCATGTTGCGGAAACATAGTTTTCATGTCCACCTCAATCTCTACCGTGGGAAATGGTTCGAACTCTCCGATCTTGGGAAAAGGGAGTCGGTGCGAAGCTCTCCACTGGCGCAAACCATTAGACCAGTCGTCGATCATGGGCTCCTCATGTTTCGGGTCGACTTCGAACTCTGTATCTTCCTCTGGCTCAAGCGGAGACATGTCAGGCCCGCTATAATCGATCCAGTAGAAGTTTTGGTAGGCGTCTTCGATCAAGGGTGTCAGAGTCTCATTCCACAAAGGTACTGCACAGGTAATGATTTTCTCAATGACATATCGTAAAGCGCGCAATGGATGTCGGGGCGGAGATTGTTGATGTAGGAGGCAATCCGGCAGTGGCCGTCAGGTTAGATCTTCACGTTGCAGGGAAGCCATTGAAAACGACGGCTATAGTCTTCGGTTCGGTAAGGAGAGTGGTCTGGCCGGCGCGCATGAGTTCCGCTCTCATCCGGAACAGGTAGAATCTCACCTCTCGCAGTATGTTCCAGGATATAGGGAAGGTTGGTTACACTATTCTTGGAAATCCGCGTGCGGCCATAAACCAGCGGATACAGGGACGGATGTACTAATTAACGATCTTCCAGTCCGACGAGGGGTGGTAATCTTTCTTGTTGGCTGGAATTTCTTCAAGTGGACGCACGGCCGCGACAAGGGCGAGGCGAAGATCTTGGGGAACGATATAGTCGGATTTCATGATACCCTCATCGAAGGCCTTGACCATGTCTTGGCGCAAAAAGAACAAGGCCTTGTACTGAAGCTCTTTGATGATCCAGTCAATCATCTCGGTAGTAAGGGGAATCATGGCGGGGATGTCTTGCTCCGTGATCTCACGTCGCCACCTTGCAGCGATGTGCTTGTTAAAGATCTAAAATCAATCAGTACTCCCCTGCTGGCGATGCAGATAGGCACCCGCCTTTCTGAACCATTTGGGCTTATCCGTAATTTTTCCCATTATCTACAGCATGGCTAACTCCCATGACGTTCTCTGGCCCCTTCACCATGTATCATAACTTCGCTTCGTAGCTTCATATGCGCAAATATGAATATATGAAAAGGAGGAAAAGGAAGAAAAGAAAAAAGCAAGAGAGATGCAGCTAAGGGAAAGTGGCGACCATTGAGGAAAGGGTTGTGTTGAGCTGGTCGTTGAATGAAGTGAGGTGAGGTGGAAGGTGACAAGATGAGAGAAGTTCCGACCCGCAGGAAGATACTAGTGGGCATGACAGGCCTGAAGCCAGTAAGCCTTCGGCGGGCTATAGAGGCCCCGGTGCCTGCACCCTCCAGGCCACCCGCAAAGTCCAATCTACCTGGCAATCACGATATGTTTGCTTTTTACCCAATTACATCCTACCTCATCACATTTTGATCGGCAGACGAAAGCTCGTCTCATGCGTACATTGGCTGTCACGCTGCGGCAACTTTATTGTAACTGTGTATAGTGTACTTTTGAGTTATGTTGACCTTAAAAACAGGATCTCATCCAGAGGTAAGATTCGCTAACAATCAACACGGAGACGTCTCGGCCTCTTTTCTTCACTCCTCCTAACTTCACCGCCATGTCTAACTACAAGGATGGCTCGACCGAAGGGCTTAGGAATGCCATCTTCGACTTCATTGTCGTCGGTGGAGGCACCAGGCGCAGGTCCTGCAACAACTCCTCGAAGACCCAGATGAGCGCACCTCGCAGTACACGCTCTTGCCCTTCCAGCTCGACCCACGTCAAGGAGTCAAAGGCATTAAAGCCCTCATGTCACCAGCCCACCCGGGGAACTTCATCACGCTCGTCTCGACGCTATGCTATCCGCTGTCGCGGGGTTCGGTGCATATCCGCTCCGCTAACCCCAGGGATCATCCGGCTCTTGACCATGGGATCCTCCGCCACCCCTTTGATCTTGAACTGCATGCGCGCCACGCGCTATGGATGGAGAAACTGGCCGCGACGCCGTCGAGGGCTGCGGTGCTCAAACAGAACGGCGTGCGACTGCATAGCCCCAAGCCACTCACCGATCTGGGGCAGGCCAAAGAAGTGACGAAAGAGTTGCTGCTGTCCACATTCCACCTGGCGGGGACGTGCGCCATGATGCCGCGTGAGGACGGGGGCGTGGTCGATCTCCACCTGCGCGTGTACGTACCACGAACGTTCGTGTCGTCGATGCCAGAATCTTCCCGTTGGTGCCGCGCGGGAATATCCAGGCGACTGTGTTTGCCGTCGCGGAGAAAGCTGTGTTCTTTGGATTAGGACACTCTGCTCAAGATGCGGCAAACTCGAGACGTCCGGAGTGCTCATGATATATATTTTTCAGACCTCTCACACTTCCTTGTTTGCAGTTTTAGTAACAGTGTCATTACAAGGAGACTTCCATGCCGTCATTGCATAAATGATCGCGAAGTATGACCGAACGCAAGCAACGTTCAGGATATGAATAATCACATTGCATGAGAACTGAGGATCATTGCCGTCCTTCTGGCCACATTCAATTGCGCCCCAAGAATGACGGTCGGAATAAGCGTAGACTAAATCGAGTTAGAGCCTTTTCTGCCGTGCGACACCGGCTCCACTTTACCACGCCAGGCAGCTGGCACCACTCACCCCTGATAGGTTAAATTGCTGGACATTTAGGAGGCATACTTAAGCCATACCTAGTATACCGACTTACCTAGTATTAGAGTAACACATACATACACGTTCGTCATTGTCGTTTAGTGTGATGGAACTCAGATGCCAGTCCGCTGGCTCTATCCAAGGCCATGCTTGGCCACGCTCAACAGCTTGTACCCCTCCCCAAAAAAGAAATCAAAAACTTCCAGAGTCATTTGTCATGAAAAGTGATCTATCGCTAAAGTTCTAGATGAACTATACGTGCTTTTTGTATATCATACGCTAAAGCCTCCTCTTCAAATCTCCTACTCCGTGGCCGGCTTCTCCGGCTCAGCGGCAGCACCGGGGTGGCGGGTGCCCTTGTTCTTGACCTTCTTCTGCTTCTTCTCGACTACGGGAGGCGGGTAGGCCTTGGCGGTGATCTCCTGCCACTCGGTGGAGGCTTGGTAGGCCGCCTGGATGGGAGCCATGAGGTTGATGAGACCGTCCGCGACGGCGGGCTTGAGCATTTGTGGCGTCAACTGCAGAGGGTTGAAGTTAGTGGTTAAGGTGCAAAAAAAAGGCTAAGAAGTGGCGAGGTGAGCAAAGAAAAACATACAACATCGTTCTTGTAATCCTCCTCGAGCTGCTTAATGTCGGTGTAGATCAGGGGCTCCTGGTCCTTGCGCTCAACGCGGAACTCCTTCTTGCCCTTGAGGTCGGCGGCGGGCAGGAGAACGTACTCCACGAGGGCGATGACACCGTTGCCTTCGACGACCTTGGGGGCGGATTCGGCCTTCTTGATCTTCTTGGTGATGCTGTCGGCCGAGTCGAGAAGATCGATCTTGCTGTCTGTTTAAGTGGGTGCAGGTGTCAGTGTGGGAGCTTCAGCGTGGTCGTGTGAGAATGGATATTACCTTCAATACTGGAACTCATCTTGGCACCCTTCAATCCGCTAATCATGGGATTGATGAGATGTGCGCGCTAAATAAAATCTATTAGCCTTCTGCCAATCCCTGGAGAGACGATCGGAGGCGGACATACCTTGCGGTAACCAAGCTTGGGCAGCCACTCCACGGCAGCAGCGAAAAGTTTGCGCTGATCCATACCACCCAGCTGGCAATCCACCTTCAGGTGCTCCTCATCCAGAACCTGGAGCACGGGGTAGAGCAGACCACTCAGAGGGGCATTGTCGGTCTGCTTGACGACCTCCGCACCGGCCTTCTTGGCATCTGACTCGGAGATCAAACTCGACAGGCGGTAGACGTCCATGACATATTCGGGGGACTTCTGGTAGGAGCTGCCGAGCACAAACTCGAGCTTCTCGGTCGACACGCCGACGGACTCAAGGATGGCGGTGATGACCTTGCGGTAGTACTGGGCGCGGTTGTCCACCAGCTCCAGAGGCGCCTTCAGGTTGTCGAGGAAACCGTGGATGTCGGCGAGCAGGACGACGACGTCGCATTGGGCACGAAGCAATTGAGCGATCTTGAGGGCAGCGAGGAAGTAGCCGACGTGGGGTCTGCCGGTGGTGGCCGTTCCTGATTTGAGGGAACCATTAGTTGGTGCATGCATTACGGCGTGGTGGTATAGACTGACTCACCCCAGTAGATGCGGGGATGGCGGCCCTCGGCCAGGATACCCTCGAGAATCTCGGGGTTCAGAACCTCGGCGAGGTTCTCGCGGATAAGATCAAAACGTGCCTGCGCTGCGGAGTCCATCGTGTCGAGCCAGAGCCGGGGCCAGGAAGTGGGATTTGTGAGGGGAAAAAGGCAAGCGATGGGCAAGTGGGCTGATAAGATGGTGGGATGGTTTTCTTGAGGCGGGCGCAAACGGAACAATACCTTTTCCGTCTGCAATTTGAGTCAAGGTGGCGTGGCAGATGCAAGCGGTCAGGGTCGGCAGATACTTGTTCCGTGCTCCGGAAGGGGTCCGACTCCAAGTTCCGAGGTTCTTTCCGCACTGATCGGCAGCCTTCCGCTGACTACATACTGTCGGGAGAGAGCGCACGTATGGCGTTGATTCATTCATCCATCGATATGTCGCTCTGTCGCGTCTATTACTGCTGTACTATATCTGAGCCAGAAAATCCTTTTTTGCTTCACAAACAGGCTGTCAACTGTCACAGAGTAATCTGTCACGCATCCCGACAGAAACACAATGATATCTACCATGCGACAGAGGTGCCATCTCCACCCATGGCATGCTCATCGAAGCATTATTCAGGCAATATAGTGCGAGCAATGCTGAAAGCACTAGTCGATCACAATTCAGCAGCTGTCTCCCTTCACTTATTCTATACAAATACCACTTCATACTTGAACGTATTTACAACAAGCTTCCACCCACCTTTCACCCCACATATTCCCAAATAAATTTGACACTATCCGGATCCCGCATTTGAATAACCAGCAGCTGATGCGTATCCAGCGTCTTGGTCACAAGCCGCTTCTGCGCCGCCGTAAAATCCTCTCCCTCTTGCAGCACGACCCGGAGCCGATGTTCGCGGAAGAGGGAAGCCAAGACCGCCACAGTCTCGACCTGCGCAAACTTCTGGCCCGCGCAAACTTGCACGCCGGCGGACCAGGGGATGTAAGTTCCCGCCCGCGGCTTTATGATCTTCTCGCGAGCGAGCTGCTCCGCTGCGCTGGGACAAAGGTCATTCGTGCTCTCGGCGCTACTATTTGTGTCCAAAGTCTGGATCCATCGTCGGGGATGCCAGGTTTGCGGCTCATCCGGCCAGTAGCGGGGGTGGGTTTGCACTGCGAGGAGACTGGGTAAGATGACGGCTCCATGTGGGAGCACGAGGGTGCGGTTACTCTCAGGGAGGTGCAGGGTGGTTTCGGCAGGGGCGACGCATTTGGGAAGAGCCTGGATGGCTGGGTATAAGCGGACGGTCTCAAGCTGTTTTAACGTGTTAGTGACAAAATTATCCGGCAACACAGGAGCATGACCACGATCATACCAGAACGGCAAGGCAGCGCTTAAGCCTGGGATACGCCTCCTTGTAACCCACATTCCCCTGATCGGTTTTGGGAATGACCGTCTGGATTTCCTCTGCGATCCAATCCTGGATGTCCGGATAGGCAGCCAGGAGAAACATCAGGTAGGTCATTGTGTTGGCGGTGGTGTCGTGGCCAGCGAAGTTGATTACGTAGATGTTCCCGAGTATTTCATGGATCGTGAGGGGCTTGCGGTTGCTGTGGCGGGTGACCTCGGACTCGCGGATCAGGGAGGACATGAGGGTCCCGGTGCCTGGCTGACCCTGCTCGTAATATCAGCGATTTTTCTAGGTTGACCATGGTAAGCATATGTTGTTTGAAGACTTCGACGGCCTGGCCGACGCGTCTACACCGGCTGGGGAACACCGGAAGCCTCAGAATCCAGGGAGGAATGATCATGATTAAGAAGGTGTCCCTCATCACGAGATTGAGAGACTCGCTGTAGGAGCGAGATTCCAGGGTTTGCGCTTCTTGGGAGCTGTGGAAGGATTGCGGTCGCTTGAAGCCGGTCGCTGCAAGGACATTGAGCGCTAAGGTGCGGATGTCAGCTCCCAAACCCCCTGCGGGCGAGGGTCCAGTTGACGCGAGCATCGCCTGGGCCTGTGCGATGGCCTCGTCCCAGACAAAGCTATTCAAGCTCTCGTTGAACGGTGCGGCCACAATCTTGCGGTGGCGTTGCCAGTCGGCACCCAGGGTCTGCCAAATGTATGGCGGTAAGCGGGAGGAATTTGTGAGGACTGAAGTGAAAAGACTGACAGTTGCCACGTTAGGACCAAACACATCAAGCAGCTCTGTTATTGAATGAGTGTATGTCAGACTCATGCCTTTGGGCGGTAGTGAAGGACGACGACGACGTACTATAGAGCTCCACTGGGCGTATAAAGTCCGCACGACGGGATATGATCTGAGTAATGGCCTCGGGATCGCAACATAGACAAACACTTCGGATGGGGTTGCCAGCGCCCACGCATCACCCATGCGAAGATGAGACTGGGCTCGGTCAGCAAACTGCCAGCTACGCCGACCATAGTGGCTAACTCGGCCAACCTGAAAGGGGAGACGATCTAGAATGAAGAAAATGACTGGTTCAAGGACGATCCAAAGCGGATTGACAGGACTAGCTGGTAGGACATGATAGGGAATTCCGAGCCTCCGGGCACGGCCGACATTTTGGACCAGACCACCTAGGCTATAGAGGGTCCAAGCCAGAGGAGCGGTGCATAAGACCGTGAGTAACATAGTAGAGGAGTCGTCAGGTGGAATACGGGGACAACGGGCATGAGTTGGCGCGAGCGGTCGTGATTCTGTGAGACGGCTCGAGTAGAAGACGGAGATGTGAATGTGGATGAGAAGGCTCAAGAGCAGTACGGGGGGCGAAGGGGAAACCAGGCAGAGAATCGAAAGTCGCTGGGAAGAGACTAGAATCTGATCAAGCAATCTAAGTAGCGGCTAAAGTAGCAGGGATCTTGGTGAGAATTGGGCCACGCTCGATTTCAACTTTAGTCCGCACTTGGCGCAAGTCTAGAATTAGCTATTTCAAGTACAACAAATGGGAGGTCCATTGAAAGCAATCAAGGTAACCCGGTAGTTATTTTTGAATACCCTTTCAAACTATTCGTATCACTTATATGACCAGAGCCTGCTATCACAAGAGCTCAAACCGGCCTTCCACTTGAACTAGCTCGTGAATCATGGGTGGATTATGAGATTATGAAAACCTATGTTGCTTTGCGCCCTGTGGAATCTTCCGAGTGGCGTGAGCAAAGGCAATTCAGCCGCCATAAGTAGAACCATCATAGAAACATCACAACGATCGATGGTCGCCATGATCTGAGTACCTTTATCTGCAAAATTCCTCCCTGGACGAAAGCTCTCCAACGTGGATGATCCTTCTTCTATGATCTTTATCGACCGTAAATTTGTTCTTATACCATCCGGGGGTTTCACTGTGTTCAGCATATCCGACGGGTCTTCCCACGCCATTGTTGCTCAACATGTGGAGTAAAGACAACAGAGCAAGACTACCGTCTATTAGTGTGTAGCTACAAGCGTTAGGAGGTATTTAGGAGTATACGGTAGCTGTCCATGGTCTGACTGTAGGGAGACTACTTGTCTCCAGAGTTTGTGACGAGTCATTGACAAGATAATAGGCCAAAGTCACGTCAGTTCAAGATAGCAAAGATGCAGTCCATGGAAGAATTTAGGCGGAAACACTAACAGAACAGGGCAGTAAGGGTTACTGACGAGATGATCGAAAAAATAAACAAAAACATACAACAGAAGGGATTCGCTGGTGGTCACCCACCCAACTACTAACCTCCCGGCGTGTGGCTTGAGTACGGCTGAGCGGACGGGAAGCCCTATTTTCCACACCCTGTGGTCGTATGTACTGGAATCGAATGCGGACTATCTTATAGAGAGCATTTTGCAAGATGTCCGCTATCAGAATGTTTCCCACTGGTTGGAGAGGCTTGATGGCGGTGATAGTCAGGCCGTCCAGATGAACTGTCAGACATAGGTAGAAACCAATGAGACGCAGAAATGGGTAGACCAACGGGCCTTCGAGCCTCCGAGCCTCCGCCACAAATGTCTTTGCACCACCGATAAATGAACAAGCGAATTCAAATTGACACAGACAGCTTCATATAGCGGTTGTGACGGGTACTGTACATATATACATTTCTGGCGTGAAAGCCGTTGACTAGCCCTGTTCTTCTACATCATCACCATCAAAGCTCGTCATGTCTAGCCCTTGCACTGTCCTGCCTCAGAAGTAGATTTTCCCTCCGCTTCCACGCCAACCTCGCAGCACCGTCTGCCGCCATAGTCATTTCCTTCAACGATCCAAGAATAGGAACCACATCCCCAACAACTTCCCGAATAGCGTGACGCACGAGCTCGCCATCGAAGTGGTCGGTCAAGACAATTGCGTAATCCACTCTTTCGGTTTTTGTTGCGCTTGTCTTCTTACGCGATTCTGAGAGTAACATTGTTAGGCCAGTCATGATATTGACTTTGGGGTACGTGGACTGTGGCACATACCTCTGGTAGCTTGCAAGTATGCATGAATACTGCCTGCCAGAGACTCCACATACTCGTCTTCAACTGCCGTGACTTGGTTACGTGTGAGGACCATGTCCGGAAAGTTCCCATGCGCCCACCAGGAGTCCAAGTTGAGGGGAAGTTCATCGAGCGTTTTCTCCTCCTCGTCATCATATTCGTTACCGCCGGCCCCATTCCGCAGTGGCTCCTCCACACCCAGCAACATCTCGACTGCCGGGTCATACCCGATCAACGTCAACCTCGTCTTTTGTACCGCGCGTGTCAAAAATCCCCGGTCGCCTCCCTGTTTAATCAGAGTTCTAAAGTGTGCATCACCGCTAACAAGCTCATCCACAAGCCGGCGTTGGATCCGCTCACTCGCCCACGGAGTCAACGGAAGATATGGATACCCTGACTGGCGGCGGTGGCGGGTTTGCGGCCCATCGTACAACTGGGCGCCACAATGGAACTGTCCCTGGTGGATAACCAGCACTCTAGCATCCTCTTCAACCGCCGGATTCAGGTAGTGTGTGCAGAAGGAGCGCGGGGGAACTGCCCCCTCAAGGATTACGATTCCCGCCTGCTGCCCGGCTTGCACAACGGCGTGTTTCAGCGTGTCGTTGAAGAAGTCCGGCACGCCGACCACGGCCCAGGTCACATTGACGCTATGAGCTTCAAAAGCCGCTGTCTTGAGTTCGGTCAAGACCTCAGCAAATGTTTCGGTAATGTCGGATATAGACAGCTTCTTCCTCAAGAGGCCGCACGAGATGAGGGTGGACTTGATCCATCGCTTGATACGGGTGGGGATAGTCCCGGAGACATCATCGTAAATCGAACGGATCGAACCTCGAGTCCAGACGACATATGAAGTGCTGCTAACGGCAAATCTCGCATCGATGACTTCGAACAGTTGCCAGACGGCGCTCCTCATGAGCGCCAACGGCGTCGAACCACGGGAGTTCGGCTCCGGCCCCGCTAGCCCTGATTGCCGAAAATGATTCATGGATAATTCGAGAATCTGTCTCTGATAATCCTGGTGATTGATTGCGCCTAGCAGCGTGAAGTTGTCTGCGGAGTTGGCGTAGGAGGCTATGACAAGATGGTGGCCAAGGTCGATACCGATGGGTTCGTTTGGGGGCGCATTCTCGCACATCTCCTGCGCCACAGCCGCAAAAGAGACGGGCCACAACAGCAGAGCCAGAATGACTCTGGAAACGATCATATCGCGGCTGTAATCAACCTTTATTTTCCTTTTGTCCCATATATTTCTCCTTTTGATCTTCTTTTTCTTTCTCTTTTCTTTTTCTTTCTTTACGATTTTGCGGCCTGTGGATGGTGAGCTTTATTTATTAGGAGATCGCTAGGCAGAATTGGAGCTAAAGCGCATCGTGCCTGAACCGAGTGGATAAGTGGAGATCAATAGATGAGGGGTTACGATCTCGGGACGTATCCCGAGAGGAGTCTGGTCGGCTTGACCCGCTCACATCGATTCGTTGTCATTGAACCAGATGGTCCTTCCAATATCGAGACCAGAACCATGTATATATGTATGAGAACGGTCCTCACCGAATGGCCTAATCGGAAGGGCAGCTTCGATAAGATAAGCCCTTTAAAAAGGCGATGTAGGCGTACTGCCGGCAGAATAGTAGTAAATGCAACTTGACTCAGGTAGCCTGTCACCGGTCCGTGACCGCCCGACGAGGTCGCAGCAAAATTCCTTCCTACTGTGATAACACACCCAGTTGAAAAGATTCACCACCCAGCTCTGACCATTTATGTTCTATCATACTAGCTTTCTAAGCTCTTGCGCTCTCGCGCTTTCAGCCTCAGAAGCATGTTAGTAACCAGATTTGTCGGCGTCCCACTGCTTTCCCCACCCCTCGCTCGCTTACCATCTCGCCGGACTTCAACATCCCTGGCCGCATGATGCGATGCTCTCGTGTACAATCATTTTCAATTGCTATTACCACTTAAGGATGTTTAGGATGGATGTCAGGATGGTAGTATGGTTCCAAACTGAGCAGTAAGCGTAAAGTATGTGTGAGTTAGATGCCAGTCTCTTTGTTCTAAAAAAGGGCAGGCGGACCCATGCTTTTCTCCCCATGATCCCTTTGTTTCGAACATCATATAAGAGGACTTTCAGAAAAAATTGTTCCGCCTTTTTAGTCCCTACATCACCTCCTCCCCTCCTTCTATTTCTTCTTCCATGAATATCCACTATATGCCGTCTCCTTCGCGCCAGCATCGCAGAAGGAAGCGCCGTGTTTACCATCCTCCTCCACTGTTCTGGGATAAACTCACTAAGGTGTGGCTGACCAAGAGCGCTTTGCGAGAAAACGACCGACGAATTCTATCTTTATCCCCAACCCAGACTTCCTTTTCCAAATTATGTACCTTTGCCCCTGATTTCTTGCGCAGTTGCCCTGCTACTTGTTTACGGGAGATCAGAAGGCTTTCCCGCTGCGGAGGCCCGGATCTATCGGATCTTAGGCATGTAAGTTGCTTATTTGTCCGATTTACCTCCAATAACTACCAAGAAAGTAAATATATACTAAGTAATATTGCGCTCAGCATCCCCCACCAACCGATTTCTATCAATACTCCTTAGTTCCCACCAGCTCAGACTCAAGACGCCCTACCACCATGTACACCCAGACTTTGATTGGAAACACCACAGTCTATGACCCGCACTTTGAGAACCATCTACTTCAGAATGGGATCTATATGCCATTTTCCAGATATCCAGATGGTAGCAGACCATCCAAACCGGGGAACTTTGCGGAAATCACCAGAAGAATACAGGCCCCTCGCCTGTCATCAGCATTACCCAAAAGCACAACTCTCGATCAGGAGTACGAGGATTTCCTCGAACTCAATGACGATGCTGCTGACGAGCAGGTTGTCATCACAGAGGTCTTACCGGCTCTCGAGGGCAAGCACCGGGCTCGTTCCCAGGTTGCGGGCGGGCACCCATTCAAGAACCTGATCCCCTTGACCGACGGCACGCTCGCCAGTGCGAAGCCTGATCTATACCACGGCGCACGACCCAACCAGCTCGCGCCCGCCATCCAGAAGCAGCTGCACAAACAGATTCTCCCGTCAAGCCAAAGCAATCGTCCAGTGGCCCCAAACTTCTTCATCGAGGCCAAGGGCCAATATGGAACGGCCCGTGCAGCCACGCGCCAGGCGTGCTATGATGGTGCGCTGGGGGCGCGCGCCATGCATACCCTCCGGCAGTTCGGGGATGTGGGCGACAGCGGATATGACGACATGGCCTACACTATCATGTCGACATATTGTGCTGGAACCCTGGGCATCTACGCGACTCACCCGACTAAGTCTAGGAGCCCCGACCGTTTCACTGACTATGTGATGACACAGATCGGGCATTACTCGATGATCGGCAGTCCAGAATCCTATCGGCAAGGGCTGGATGCCTATCGAAATAGTAGAGACTTGGCTAAAGAATACAGGGACGAGATCATCCGGCAAGCAAACGAACGATATGCGAGGCTCTATGCTCAGACCACCCCGCCACCGTAGATGGGACCTCGATTCACTTTGCAAGAGCGGGGGTCTAGCGGGATCCTGGGGTTGGCTGGGTTCGTTCCTCAGATCTTTGGCAGGCCTGGGCGAGTCAAGGCTAGATCGCATAGATCAGCAGTGCTGGGGTGGTTTAGGCCGTGTTGCGCATTCGTGAGCAGCTACAGGGCTGCAGTAGCTGGTCATATGGATTTTGAAACTATCGTATCTCTTTCTTGCCACTAATAGAACCAGGCATATCACTGGAAATATTTTCTCGTTGAAGAAACTCAATTGAAAATAAGGGTTCAGTCATAATTACACTTGCTGTTTAGGGAAGGGGAACGAGGTGCAAAGAATTGGGTGCGGTGTGTTATTGGATGAGGTTTTGCAGATGTTCTGGAGTGCAGTATACGACTGAGCATCGGAACCGTCGATCGAGGACAAAGCAATGGCCTTCTCTTAGGGCACGGATTGCGGCACGAGGACGGGCACATGTGGGGCAAAAAAAGATGAGACAGAAAAACAATATGCTCAACCTCGGGATCGAACCGAGGACCTTCTGTGTTTTTATTGCAGGGCAATGTAAGACAGACGCCTTAACCACTGGGCCAGTCGAGCCTTTTCTACAGTGGTTCTTTCCGTGTTATGCCTATCACCAGCGCCAGCCTCATTTTTGCATGCTTGTGGCTGCGGCCGCTCCGCACCTTGCCCTTACACCCATGAATGGGTTCTATTCTCTTTGCTTGTCTATGGCTGAATCCTTAATAAATAATCTTCAAATCCTTTTCTAGACTGAGGCGGAAGTGCTTTTCTCTTACTACCGCCGTCGAGTTTATATTTTTGGCCATAGAGCGACGCTCAATAAGTATATCCTGATGTGAGATTTGTTTCCGTCAGTTGTGAGTATCGAGCGCCCACAATCTCAGTCGGGGTACCAACCTGGACAAAAAAGTTTTTGACATGTACTACGGCCAAGACTGAAGTCTAATTTCTGAGCAATACAACCGTCAATCTCTAATCCACGCCATCCAGTTCGTGGTGTATATGACCTCATTAATTGCCTACAATGCCATCTGGCATCCGCTGCGAAAGATCCCCGGTCCCTTCCTCCACCGCATCACTCCAATTCCCTGGCTCATCAGCTGGATCGGTGGATTGAGTCACCGCGCCCTACTCCAGCTCCACGAGAAGTACGTCACCGTAGTCCGAACCCCCACCCCCCCCAACCTCGGGCATGTGAATTAGCGACGGCCAATCCGTCGGCGGCGCGGCAGGGAATGGATCTTCAAACAAGCCCATGTCGAACTTTGCTGGAAGCACACATCGGACTGCTTCGTCGACATTTGCGGCAGACAAAGTTCCGTTTGAGACGAGGTTCGGGATTGTCTCAATATTACTGCCCATGCTCATTGGGAATGTGTTCCACAAAATACGGGCACGAAGGAGGGCTGTCTACGATGTTCCGCTGTATTCAGTATCCCCACCGGCTAGCAGGACCATCATGATCACTGCTTGCTTGTCTATTGGATTGCTCTTGCATATCTTGAAAGTATGGCAGAGTCGATCCGGACCTCCATCGTCTGAAGTAGTGAAGTACTGGAAGCCCCACTGCTGGCGCAGCACCTCAGTGAGCAGGTTTATCACCCAGCTCGTCTCATCACAAGCAAAAGGCCAAATGCCACACAACCATGGGACATCGTTGGTGAATGTATGTCTCAGGTAAGTTTCATGTCGCACTACTCATAAGTTGAATTGCAATTCACAGTTTGTTCTCAAACGACGTTAGTGTCAAAGCCTGGCCAGCTCGCATCAGGCTACAGTTACATAGCCAGGAGAAGACCAGTTTTTTGTCGAGAAAGAGGATTATTTCTCCCGTCAGCAGTCTGACCTGAGCCCCGTCTGTTTCTACCGGCCTTTTAACGAGACTCAGCTATCGTACGCAGTTGCCCGCGCAAGGGAACACCTTGTCTGCCCGATGCTATCAAAAGCGGCGGCCATGCATCCTTTGCCGGGGCATCCAACACAGCCAAGGGCGTCATCATTGTGCTCCGGCACTTTGTTTCGCACAGTTCGTCTTGCCAACTTTGGTTTCGAAACGATATAGGTGGAATCTCCCACTTCTCTGTCTTGTATGGTTTGACGTGCGATAACGTGGGAGACTATCAGGTACGTTGGACGCCTGACTACTGGAAGATCACATTATTAGTGAGTCCCTAACCCTCTCCTATCGATGTACAGGTGGTGCATTCAAAAGGGTCGCTTGTAGATGTCACCTTGGAAACCAATCCCGATCTTTACTAGGCGCTGAGAGGGGGAAGTAGCAATTTCGGCATTGTCACCCGGTTCGTTGTGTACGGGATACCTCTCCTCTACATGTGGGGAGGCCTACGGAACTATACCAAGAAGTGGATTCCCACCATCGTCATCTACGTTGAGCTAGGTTTGCACTCCCCATCAGAGCCCTCTACCTAGCAGATCATCACCCTCTTCTACCAGGACGACGAGCATACCGTCACAGTCCATCTCACCAACACCAATCCCGAACCGAGCCCTCTGCTCTACGACAAGGGGCTGGCCCGTGTGCCCTACACGTCCGACACATACTCCATCACGCGCCCAATCCCAGCTGGCCAAGACCTGACAGAGAGTCAACCGAACGGGCTGCGCCAGACCTACTGGACCGCGACCTACCTCCTC